ATTTATACTGGAGGAATCCGATGTGCTATAAAGCTATTATTCACAGGTGTCCAGTGGGGGCGGATCAGAAAGTTACCAGGCCTTAACTGGTAAAATAACTTACCATGCTTTACCCGGTAAAATAAAAAATTGTTTAGTTTTTAGCTTAGTTTACAACAAATGTAATCACCATTTTTCTCATCAAATGTGGGAAGTTTATTTATATCTGAATTAGTCCCAAATAGTTAATATACATTACTCTGCCTCAGTAAAAAAAGAATAATGAATTATTATGCTGATAACGATTATCCACATCTTTAATGTGTCTAAATTTACTCCTGAAATCGTTGAACTGCCCTAATATGCAATGAGAACGTCTTTCACAGTCAGCAATGGTTTAAAGTCTGAGTCATACCATTCTGCACGTTGTGTTTTTTGGCTCCAGACCGCATTGCTCACGCTGATTATAAAGGGGCGAGTGCCATTTCTCAGAGGGCACCTGCCCAGGCTGAAAGTATTGGTTCCAAAGCTTACCAATACAAAGACAAAGTTGCCCCTCATAGCCTTGAAAGGCTGTAGGGGCAAGTGCTGTTCCTGAGCACCGATGAAGGCCGGCATGGCAAACGACAGGGTGGGTGGCCGACACCACGCCCAACCGCCTTTGTCTCCCCAGTGGAGATGTTTTTACACACCCCAACAGGTACTCGTTTGAGGCTGAGTCGACCTAGGCGAGGCCCCGGAACTGTTCAGATAATCGTCACTGGTGTTGGCCGTGAGCAGGAATTTAACTATAGGGTTCGTATAGCGCAGCAATACATTACACATGTACACGCACAGTACAGCCCTTTTGTCAACGCTTTTCTGGATGAGGGCCACGCTGTGCGGGCTGTGGCCTATTATATGGCCATACTTCACCACACTGGTCAGTGTGAGTTGGTGAAGGCGATAGCACAGACCTTGCGGCATAGTTCAGTACAACGAAGTATTTTGCTGGCAACGTGGCCCCTATCAACCTCTGCCATACATGGTCCCTAACCCAAGGACCAGGCTGAACTTGCTCAGCTTCAGAGCTCTGACAAGTCCGGTGCATCCCAGGTGATTTGGTTCATGAAATCCACAAACACCAGGCACACTTATACAAGTCAATCACCTTGCTCTTCACAGGCAGCCAGAGTTGTTGCAGAGGTTCACGGTTCGAATCCAGTGGCCGCCCAGGTTATTGGGGGGGGGGGGGGGGGGGGGGGGGGGGGAGGAGGTGTCACGGTGGCAATCGTAACTACCTCGCCTGGTATACAAGGAGGTCGTGGGTTCGATCCTGGATTTTTCTCCAGGGCCTCCGGTTTTTCCTTCCACATTTAGAGTACAGTATTTTGCTGTTATACATTTCCACATAAGCCACTTCATTGAGCTATCATTTGTGGCCAGGTCACTTCTGAAAAATAACTATATAGCTCAGCAGGGTCTTTCCCGGTAAAATAAATAATACAGATAGTTACTGCCGATGTATTCGCCGTAAATATACAGTCTGCGCCGTCCGCTTATGTGGACATTTAGGATACCGTGACGTCATTTTAAGAGTAGGTCATTCTGTGCTGGGCTCATGTCATGGTGCAAATTTGAAAAAAAAAATCTAATATATAGCAATTATTGCACCCAGCACCCAGTGTTGTCACTAGGGGGTGCAGGGGGTGCGGACCGCACCGGGTGACACCATCAGAGGGCAGATCATTATTATAATTCAGTAGGCTCACATGACATTGACTTTTCCAAGACAGAGGTTCTTTGTAAGCCATCTGGCTACCATGAGAGATTCGTTCATGAGGCTATCCACATATACAAGCACAGAGACAATTTCAACCGAGAAGATGGATTCTGGCTTAGCAATCATTGGAAGGATTTGATAAACCATTTCAGGTCTTAATTGATTGTTCACGCTTACGGTGGCTTTCAGACAGCATACATTAATTTTTCGTCTCCCCCCTCCTCTTTTCAGAACATAGATGGACTCGTCCTTCTAAATAAACTGCCAAATCGCTGCGCATGGCGCTGACGTTTTTTTTTATATAAATAAACACATCGTTTAAAAATAAATAAATTAACGCAAACCGACACACCTGATGACGACGTTTGTGTTATGGTCGAAACATCGTGAGAATTTTTATTGTTTTATATATATTTTACTAGTTTATTGTTTCCCTTCAACGTGACTTTACCGAAAGAGCTAAGAATATAACATTTTTATGCAGTGTTTCAGCAGAAATGTATTGTTTTATAAAAAAAAAAAACAGGTCCCTGCAGGGTGGGCTGGTAGGAACATTGGAAATTTGCGCAATTTTATGACATTGTTACTTTCAAATGTTGGGTGCAATAAGACATATCAAGTCTCTGCGCTGTCTATTGCTGATTTTACACCCAACAGCACGAGATTTCACTTCGTTAAAGTATTGAAAGGAGACGGACGGACGGACACATTAATCTATTGCAGGCTGGTACACTCAGTTTACAACTTCGTTCCTACCAGTAAAAAAAATATCCCTGTAGTTAGTTGTAACAGCAACACAATTTTTCATAAGCCCAGCTTACATACACTGTATCAATACACCTATAAGGCTAAAACTCTATGCTAATTTACTTTTTGAACCTTCTAATGCGCTCCGGTCAGAGCTGTCATTGTTACGCAACTACAGTGACGCTTCGAGTCACGTGGTTTCGTCTGCACGTGGTTTCGTCTGCACGCGCCACAAGCACGCGCGGTTGTTTTCGTCGCTGCTCGTGTTTTTATAGTCGCTGATTTTGTCAAGTTTTAGCCACAATATTGTGGTTAATTATATTTGTGAACCTATATCAATAACTTTTTTGAGAATGAAGTAGTAATTTAAGGAAAAGTTGTAATTTAAAGGTGTAATTTTTATTTTGCTAAATTTCGATTTAAAGCTTTCGTGACTGCAAGGATTCATCTTCTTTAGTTCTTTCGGTAAAGTCACGTAGAATGAGAATAAAATAATAAATTGATAAAATAAAATAACACAGTAAAATTCTCACGACGTTTCGGCCACAACACAAGCGGCCTTCATCAGGTGAAGGGACGAGACTGTCTGGAGGACAGCGCTGGAGCGAACAAAGCCACGCTAGTTGTATACGTCACTACTATTGCCATTACATTCAGTGATATACGGGAATTACGATGAACGAGTAACATTAGTACAAAAACATTACTAAGGATTCTGTATGGGGCCGTCCATAAATGATGTCACGCGATTTTTGACGATTTTTGACCCCCCCCCCCCCTCATCACACGGCGTCAGACCCCTCCTCTGCCCCCCCCCCCAAAAAAAAATATAAAACATGCTTGAAATCGCTTTAAACGATTGTCATTTTAGTGCGTATTTAATGTGCCGCTGCATCTGATGTTGTAGGAGAAAACATCAAAAAGTATATTTAATTAAGAAGAACGTGTTGTCTATATTTATTTAAAGTTGCGCATTTTGATGTGACGTCACATTTCTCAAACACCCCCCCCTCTTCGTCACACATCGTCACAAATGTCTGACCCCCCCCCCCCCCCCCCCTCGGTGCGTGACGTCATTTATGGACGGTCCCTATGGTCTGGATACAGGCGGAGGTCCATGAGGGGTGACACTACGAGTTACCGCACTGGGTGACACCAACCCAAGTGACGCCACTGGGTGCACCCTATTGCGAAAGTCTGACAGGACCCTGCTGCTGAATGAGAATCCTAAGACCCAGTGAGACTTCCCTGGGTAACAGGTCCCTGCAGGGTGGGCTGGTAGAAGTTCGCAAATGAGATAATGTGACTTCCAAATGTTGGGTGCAATAAGACATATCAAGTCTCTGCGCTGTCTATTGCTGATTTTACACCCCAACAGCACGAGATTTCACTTCTTTAAAGTATTGAAAGGGGACGGACGGACACATTAATCTATTGCAGGCTGGTACACTCAGTTTACAACTTCGTTCCTACCAGTAAAATGCGAGTTTTTCTTCATTTATAACTGCTTCATAGCTGTACTCTTTTTTTAATTTTTGCTTTTGTGACATTGATGACCCAGGTCACTCTTGCAAATTAATGAGCCGTCCATAAATGACGTCACGCACCTGGAGGGGGGGGGGGTCAGACATTTGGGACGATGTGTTACGGGGGTGGGGGGGTTGAGAAATGTGACGTCACATCAAAATGCGCAACTTTAAATAAATATAGACAACACGTTCTACTTAATTAAATAGACTTTTTTTAAAAATAAATGTTTTCTCCTACAACATCAGAGTGCAGCGCCACATTAAATACGCCCTACACTGACAATACTTTAAAGCGATTTAAAGCATTTCTTTTTTTGGGGGGGGGGGGGGACAGAGCTTTGTGACGTCATATTTGGTGGTGGTGGGGGGTCTGACTTTTTGTGACACCGTGTGACAAGGGGGGTCGGGTCAAAAATCGTCCAAAATCGCGCGACGTCATTTATGGGCGCCCCCTTAAGACTATGCTGGCCTCGTGTGATCCTCACCGGGTTAAACAATATACTCTTGCAACTACGGTCTACGCATGTCGCAACCTATTATTACGTACGTACGTTGAAATTTATTCCCACGGTACGTAGCCAACCGTGCTCATCGGGCAAGGACAACAAACCAAAACACTAAAATAAGTTCCAAATAAACGAATTCTCGGTGTCGATTTAAAACGTGCGTCGAGCGCCACTGGCTCCCTAATATGTTTCCCCGATGCAACTCCCCACAAGCGGCCACTGGCCCCAGCAAACATGTAACGTTGGCACCAACGTTGGGTCAACGTTGGTTGGCATGTTTACTTGGCAGGGCCCCTCCCTGCATGCTCCCTCTACCCCACCCCCATAATCGGCGTGGTGGTGGTGGTGATGGTGCTGACGACGGGAGGAGAGAGCGTGCCAGGGTATGACGTCATGTCACCACGGCACGGTGAGTCGTCACGCCGTGATGGGTGAGTGGGTGGGTAGGGGGAGGGGGCCTGGAAGGGATGACGTAATCTGTCCGCACGAGCACGAGGGAAGGCGGGGAGACGCACACACACACACCACACAGTGGAGAGTCGTAGGCAGGCGGACACACACACAGGCGGACACACACACACACAGGCGGACACACGGACGCGGGAGAGATCGGCGGCACGGCAGAGCGGACAGGGAGGCGCGAGGCTCCCGGTTACGTCCATTAGAGAGTCGCCCTTCGCCTCGGCGCGGCGCTTCGTCTCCCGAGCCATCTCGGCGGGTCCCTTCCTCCTCCATCTCCTCGTCCTTCACGACTGCGGCGTAGCTCGGCTCAGCAGGTGAGCGGCCGCGCGTCTGGTTCGACTCCGGCCCGAGTCCACGGTATTTCGCACGTCGTGGGTGGTGGTGGTGGCGGCGAGAGAGAGGGGAGACGGTGGTTTAGTGGCGGTGAGCGGCCGTGGTGATGGTGGTGATGATGATGATGGGCGCTACGGGAGGGTGCTGCTGTGCTTGGGGCGGGCGGGGGGGGGTTTGAGTGTGTGCCGCTGGGCGCCTTTGTTTGCCTCTGCCATTAGGAGCCTTAACCCGAGCCTGTGCGTGGCTCTGGCGGGACGAGCCCTGGGCTCTCTGTTCACTCAAGGGAGATTTCAACCCCTAGCCCACCCACCCACCTCCATTCCTTCTCGTGGCTCCCATGAAATCGTCCATCCCTCGTTCGCTCCCTCCCGCACTCGAGTACTTGGCATGCGATGGGACATCCAATCCGTCCATGGGCATCATCGTCACGACGCTCCACCTCGCGCGAACCACCGAATACTCGAGGCCAGCCATGATCGTTGCCCTTAAATCCACCACATACGTCCCAACGTCCATCGATAACTCCCCATAGATGCAGACTTTCCTCGAGCACTAACTCCATCCGTACCTATCGATATCTGTCAATCGCGATATCATTCACACAGCCAGCCACTCGGCGTGTGACAAATCTGAGCAAATGTCGCTCAACCGTCCGTCCTCAATTCACTGCTTAAACGATGAACCCATTTGCATCGCTGCGTTTGTGTTGAAACCCATCAATGCCACTATCACGAAATGCCTCCCACCGCTCATCGCGCCTTAAACCCGACTATCCCTTTACATTAATTAAATGCCATGAATACAACTTGGGACTAAACCAAAATCCGTACATTTATTCGTCGTACTTATTATCTGTTCACCCCTCTTATCATTAATCCAAACCTTAGCACCATCCTACCCCCCGCCCCTACAACTCGTTGTTCCAATGCATTAATCCAATCCCACAAGTACTGCACTGTCAAAATCCATACTGGAATCAGGCCATCCCTCTTGTCACTGCACGTGTACTCAACAGCTATCTCACGACCATATTACCAAGTCCATAAACTCCATCATCAACCCTTCTACCATTCTCTCTGGCTCATAAACCTCATGCAAACCTCCCTTATCTCCTTCAATCCAGTCCTCGTAACCACAACATATTTTGACCAATTTTTCTACAGCCATGAAAACAGGCATTTATCCATTCATCAAGTACTTTCATTCTTTGCGAAATCCACCCTTTCCCCTTATCACTCTATCCATGCACCACGTCATGACACAATCACTAAAATCTATAACAGCAAATTCTGCTATTATAAATACTTCAATACCTCAAGTAGTCTATACCTAGATATCCAGTACAGTCACTCTATGTACACAAAACCCAGACAGCCGTTTGTTGGTCGATACATACATCATTCAATTCCTCTATCATTAAACACAGGCTTTTCTGTAACTATCTTCACATTTTCAGCGATCCCTCAAGCACTACTCATGAGCAAACTCTACATTTCTCATTAATATGATCCATCATTGCTGAGCTATTCCTAAACCCACTCTTATTATTATTAACACAAAAACAGCCATCGTCTGATTGAAGGTGATCTATGGGTCTATCACACTATCCCTAAACAAAGCCATTTCTTTTTAAATCCCTAAACCAATACAACCCTCCACTCCTTTAAAAAATCCATCCCTCTGTCATACCTTTCTCATTCATCCATTATCATAATTCCAAAAGTACATTTATCCAACCATCCACCCCTCCACCATCTTTTAACATGTCAATATTTATTCAATTCCGTCCATAAACCATGGCGACCCTACATAACACCATTTTTCAATCTATCCACGCACATGTAAATCCACAGCTGGATTAAAGCAACCTCCATGCCGTGTCAGCCATGGGGGTTGCTTGAATCTACTTAACCATACTAATGAAGGGTGTGGTGGTGGGAAAGCAGGCAGGGTCAGTTCAGATATCACCTGCCACTGACCTTAGCCATAAATATGCATCCATCCTGAACCCAGTCGTGACAAAAGCCACCAATTCTAAGTACACATATCCCCAAACACATTCTTGCATCCATTCTTCCATTTTCTGTCAGCGACACAATCATCCATCCATAAGTCTGTCTCATTCATTTTCCCCTAAATCATGCATGTCAACTCCATTCCTTCCAAAATCTTCCTTCTGAACTAATACATTAATGAAACTCTCTCCCATCCATCCTTAAAATCAAGTATCCAAGCATCCCACCGTGTAACTGTCTCTCAAAAATTCCATGGGTCTTTACGTGTTTGTCCTTTGCCAAATAAATCAATGGCATTCTCCATCCTTTACCACGATTCATCAGCAACAACAAGGCCACCTCCACGCATATTATCATTCTCGATATGAAACTCCATGACAGCAAAATCACATTTGCATACGTGGGCTGTAAGATTAATTACGTATGAATACATACAATTGCAAAGCAACTAGCGTTAAACGTCCGGTCGTTGGTTAAATGTGCATGCAGAGGATGCTAGGAATTTCATGGCACAAAAAGGTTAAGCAACTTGGATGTTTGTAAAGGCTCATGGTAAGAAAGTGTTTTAGATGTAATCAAGAATATTTAGTTGTGATGGGGGTAGGTCCTATGTACAGCATGGAGAAAGCAATGGGCCACCGTAAATCGTATCTGAACTGGCCACAGCAGTTGTGATTACCTTTTCCACAAATGGAAGGTGGTCATAGCATTGTTGAAATATGACTGCAGCGCATAGAAACAACAAACAGTGGAACATCGTTGAGCCTGGAAGCCATCGGCTGCGTTTACAACTTAAACAAGGTTGTGCAGTTGCCACTCAATACATATCTATACATATCCAAACAAAAGCAGGAGACGGCATTGAGAAGGACAAGTTACTGAGACGAGTATTGCACTGGTAATCCAGAGTTTGGCAACCAAGGGGAATATCTGAAGCCAAATGGTGGAATAATGTATGAGTAGCCAACTGCGGCAGGATGTGGTCAAGAAACTAGGGTTGCAGCCATATCATTTTTCATTATGTGCTACTAAATGTCACGGTATGGTGATTATTGCAATATCAGTTTACCATACCTTTAACTGTATTTCACACTGTCTTCTTGTTGTCCTTCGATGTTCTTCACATGTGACTAAAGATGACCTCACCGTTATTCAACCGCATTTCGCTCAACGCAAGCATTTTGAATTTACTGACGTTAATTGAAAAAGAATGCACAAGCTTTAATAAAATGATGACGTTTTAGAATCGAAGTATCAGTTATCCCCCAACATTTTACAAAGCGCCAATTTACCAGATAATAGCAATGTCATAATTCGAATTTTTGTCCTTAACTTTAACTACCGTTACTTCATAAATACATTATTTTTTTGTCAGCAAATGAAATATTTAAAGAACAAATTTAAGCCAGGGACCATAATCTCGATTTCATGATGATTTTCAAAACGGACGGGTAATGTTATTGTGCATCTCATACGATTGATGTACCGTTGTATCGTATTGCCATATCGCAGCAACCTTAACAGGAACTCGGCGATTGTGGGTGTGATGTGGCATCGGTTGGATCAGCAGTGGCATTGGCCGTGGCGCTGTTTGGAGCTTGAATGCCTTCCAAAGCCACCGTGGTGAGCTGTGGTGCAGCGGAATGAGTGGGGGTGGAAATTGGGCACTTACACAAAAGGCCTGCCTCCACCACCCCAGCCCATGCAATGGAATCGTCATCGCCTCAACACCAGCCCTTGCCATGTTGTGTCATCGGTGTCATCAGGAGGGCAAAACAAAAAGCTTGGGAATTTGAAAGGGTTCTGATTGCCTTTTCACGTGTGGGAGTGAGAGAGGGGGGGGGGAGAATGGTATTTCGCCGAGTAGGGGGGGGGAGGGGGAAGTGGGCAGCTGTTGAGGCAAGTGTTAGTGAGGTTGTGCACATTACCCCACCGCTTCCCATCTCGCTGTCTCTGGGCTGCCCGTCGCCAGCCAATCCGTAATGTCATACAACCCCTACCTATGTGTATATGTCTAATGAGGAAATGGAAGAGATGTGCCTATATATATCTCCTGTCTTTACAAATACAAACGTCAATAAAGGATTGCCCCCCCCCCCCTCGACTTTTCAAATGTCGACTTTTTCACCATTATCCCAGTCACCAGTAGGGATGCGTGTACCTCCCTATACTGACGTCAGTGGGGGGACACGTGTGTGTGTATACACTGCTTAGCTTTCCCAAGTAAGACTACCCCATTGGTTGTCATCTGTATGAATATGATTACTGTCATTGTTTATATACGCTGTGTGTGTGTTTTATATAAATATGACATACAGCATAACACAAATTAGCATTCGCCTTAGAGAACACCCATGTAGAGGCATCTGCTCATATTTTTAAAGTATAATTCACCCGCTTGTGGAGAGGAACTATAATAAAAGTAATTATTTAATGTAGAGTCAATAACGTGGTTAAAACACGAGAACTGTTTTTGAAACATCAGTTTAGGGAAGGTCCAAACTAAATCGAACATGTGGAATGGGAAGAGGGCACTGCATGTGTTCACTTTGTATTGAAATATAGTGAGAGCCTTCAAGCACAGACGGAAAAGAAGATTGGTTCAGACTGGGGGGGGGGCATCAGAGGGCCCCCACCACCTCCCATTACACAGAGATGAACCCAGAGACCTGCAGAAGGAGATAGTGGGCGGAAGAGAGCACCGATAGTTGGAATTGGGTTACAAAGGTAAGTAGGAGGCAAGGCCATGAATGAATGTCACGACAAGTGAAGGCTCTGTAAAGGCACACACTCTAATCGATTATACAAATTTGGCTTACAACACATTTTTAAAGCCTCTTAATAGCCCCTTTTTGTACTGTGTGTACGTACAGCGTATTCACACGTGATAAATGTATATATGATATGCACTGTTCATGTGTGTGTGTGTGGTTAAAGTAGAACTGATGATTTAAAGTAAGTATCTT